AACTTAGTGTAAACAACACAATCGCGCTCAAATTTCGCAACGTATCCTCAAAATAGTCGAACTTTACAATAGTGACGTCAGTTGCTAGATTGCTACACTAGTGTTGCCAAATCTCAAAATATAAAAGGCAACCCTCGTAGTATATCGGTTATGAAATCGAGTTGAGTGGTAAGTGTTCGTCAAATGCGGTTGATAATTCTGGGTTTTTGAAACGCGTTCTGCATTTTCAGCACTTTTCTGAGGGCAGTTTTGCTGTACTCGGCATAGTGCAGTTATATGCTCCCCGAGACGTAAAATATGGGTCACCTCCCGGCTAGACAACACCCCATGCAGTCTCATCAGGAGCCATAGACTCCCAGCAACAATGGGTTTTCGGAACCATTTTTTTGCAAACTGTGTCTATAGTTTTGAACATTCGTTAAGTAGCTCTTTACAATACATTTCAAAGGCACAGTTTACCATGAAAATGGTTTTTGAGTTTTAACCCTAGGAATACCCAGTGACCCCCAAGGTTAACAGGAATAAGGCTGTCGGGTCCAAAAACTCAGAGCTAGGGCATAGCGGGAGCCCCACTACCGGACCACTCGAATGCCACGTCCATTGACCGATGATGTGTGACGAGTGTCGAGACGATACAGATTGCAACACTCGCGCCAGGACCCACACCGTCAGCACGTCAGCTCGCAGCCAGCTGATAGCTGAGGCGATGTTTCCTTCCTTTTCTATTATTCTCTGTTATTCTTTTTGCGATCTGCCGTAATGTTTTACCTCAAACGGTTGGGAAAGGGTGGGCTATTTCTGCTCTATAGCTGGCACACGCTGTATAGCTCTACGAAACACCCCTTATTTTTCTTTTTTCTGGTCTCCTCTTTTTTTCGAAGCCTTTGATCACTTTGAGAACGTCGACTTTCTTCGCCATCATCGCACTATTTTCCATCTTATCTTCCGTTTTCCGCCATAATCTGGATTACCCAGAATTAGAATCGAAAAAATCGAAAAATTGAATCAGAATCGTGTGCCGTGCTTCTAATTGAGCACAGCTAACCTCACAAAACGCAGCCTCAGGTCCTATCTCAGGCCCCTCTAACAGAACGGAGCAGGTTGATAGCAGAAATAAGGTTTTCAAAGAAATATGTTGTATTCCGCGGAAGGAGAGGGCAGGCGGGGTGTAGGTAGTGTAATGGATAAGAGTGCGGTGACCGGAATGCAAAAGTACGGGTTCGAAAGCTGTCAGAGGTCCAAGTTTTGTCCATAGCTTGCCAATTTTGTGAGACTTTCGCATTCCGTACTGCGGCCATGTTACGGCAAAGAACAAAACATCAAGTCAAAATAGGTTGTGGTTTTCTACTATCACCGTGTCATATAGCAGGTGGTAGGGAGGGGTGTGGTGCGTTAGGAACGAAACGGTTGCGACGCCGTGAGAGGGGCGTCGCGTGGAAGGAATGTAGCAGGTAAGGAATTAAGAACAAAAGTAGTAATAGTAGAATTATACATAAAATAATGATCGCATATCGATTGAGCTGTATGAAGAACGCTAGAGCTGTATAACGGCGAATGAGTTGTCCGCGACAGCCGCGTGCGGCAAATCGATTACCCAAAATCGTTCCTAACGCCCGTCTCCCTGGTAGGGAGTGACTGATCTGGACTAGGGGGAGGGGGAGGAGTGTAGAGGAGGAGGACGGAGAATGTGTGATATGAGTGCGATTAGGGCAAAAAGGCATTAGAAGTGATATGAGTGCGATTAGGGTAAAAAGGCATTAGAACCGATTGCCTTTCACGTTTTTTTCAGTTGACTTGTTCATTTATTCACCATTTTACCGAATTTCCCCGTAATTTCAATCTGAGTGAGGAAGAGTTTTGTCGTGTATAATTTACCTTCCCTTTGCATCAATAGCTATAAGTGAAACAAGATTTACAGGTCTTCCCTGGAACTCAAGGGATTGAGTCTCGTTGGTATTTTCCTGTGGCATCGTTAATTGATACAAACAGTGATGAAGTGTCATCAGAAATCACCACATTGTCGGAGAGCGAAATCACTGATGAACAAGTGTATGGAGTCATATTTCTGAACTATATTGCTTTCCAAACATATATATTTATCATTATATCCACTAAATTCTCCCAGGGAGTCGTTTGACGAAAGATGTGGAGTCCAACTCAAAGGCGTTGTTAAAAAGTACGTCAGCCGTGGAGCGAGAAGTTACGCTGTCAATGATGTAACCATGAGTTTTCAAAAAGTATCTCTATTAATTTTAAAATGTTGAGAAAATGGTATTGGTTTTAACAATTACTCTACACCTAGAATGAAGTCACCGTCTTGCTGGGAGAGAATGGAGCAGGGAAATCTACGACCATCAGAATGATAAGCGGTCATATCTCACCAACTTCGGGGTGCGTTTTATTTTTATGCTGATTTTTTTATCATGTTCTTCTGAAGGCATTCAGTCAGCGTGAAGCTGTCAGTATTGCAGTGTCATCATCGTTGAGGGAAAAGAAATTGGTGGTAGTACACGAGTACAAGTGGGTCTTTGCCCTCAGCACAATGTGCTTTTTCCATCCCTCACGGTTTTTGAACATTTGCGGTTCTACTCAGCACTAAAAAATCATGAACTCTCACAGGTACGGAGTTTGGTAATTACTTTGCACCCGTCAAATACTTTCGCTCCTCCTTGGGCCTCCATTTATAGATTCATAGATTGGATCCCCTGACTGATTGGCTCATTAGCAACTTTGACCACCTACACCCGGGTGTGGTGCGATTCACGCGTCAGCGTAATGAGGTCATCTCGCATGAAAGGCGGGGGCTTCTCATTATGGGAGAGTTAGAAACTTATAGAAGACAAGTAAAAAAATTATCATAAATGTACGTTTACAGAAGGACTGCGTCCATTAAGATCGAAACATTTTGAAGTTACTCTTATTTTGGACGTTCGACAGGTTAATTGTTGACCTATGAAGTGAATCCTTAATCTCGAAGGGTCTTCATTGCCATAGCGAAGAGATTTGCACTGCCTCATGGTGAAGCCAAGGACTAGTGCACAGCGGGAGACGGAACATCCACCCAAATCCGGTAGGACGCGGCTAATTGCGCGGCGAAATTCGTATTAATTTACACGGCTCTGGCGCCTATCGCTGGGGCACAAATTTGAAGTACGGTAATCAAGTAGCTCCTCAAAAAAGTGTCCCAATGGTAGCGGCCAGAGTCGTTTAAATCACCACGGATTTTGCCGCGCGGTTTGCCGAGTCTATCTAGAGTTGGGATTCCGTACCCTTCGGTTGAAATAGAGATCCCGAGTTGTGCACGGGTATGGGTGAATGTACCCATACCCGTGCACAACTCGTTTCGCCTATCACAACTGAAGAGTACGGAAGCGATCGCATCGTACAGGTACGTAATCTGCCGCGTGCTGCGTATGCAAGGAGCTCTGATGGNCCCCCCCCCCCCCCCCCCCCCCCCCCCCCACACCCTTTCGAATTCGAACGCTTCAGTCCGGTAGAACAGCAGATATTAATTCCCGGTGTTAAACATACGCACTCAGACACGCTTCTTGCACGGTGAACGGAGTACTGCTCTGCACTTAGGTGATCTTGTTCATTCCTTACTCACTCCAAATTGAAATCGTAGTTTTGCTAAGATTGCACTCATTTCACAGACGACCATTTGAATGCTTACACCCAAATATAGTCATTTTCGCGTACTCTCCGCCTCTGTGAGCGAAGCCAAGTTTCACCATCTACCATATTACCACATTTGAAAGTTCTAGGGAAGAACTCCCACTCCTGAGGGTGGAGTCCAATCGCACCGCCACTCGTCAGTGCCGCTGTCCTGCAGCTTACACCCTTGCTGAGGTTGATCGCCCCGGAACCAAATTAACAATTTCCAAGCACCCACCAAATTAACAATTTCCAAGCACCCATCGTCCTCTGTAGCCGGAGCTTAGTCTACTCATCAACCTTCGGAGGTTCTCATCCCACCCCGTCTGTGCTCCTACCAAATCTGAGGGCTCCAGGTCTACGGGATCAGATGTTACGATTACCCGCTCAAAAACTAAGTTTCGCGAACGCCCCACCCTCTGCCAGCAAAGTCTACTCCTGCTACCTAACATCATTGCTCTCTTCCTGCCTTCTGATCTCTTATTCTCCATCGTCAAATTTGAACACCATAAGTCTAGGTTGCAAATCTGGCCATATTCCGGATTAGAAAAATTTAATAATGAAGGATTTTAATATTCAGGAACCGCAAAAGAAGCTTAAAAAATTACGAGGGTCCTCAAGAACACGAAGCCTATAATGATCTAACTGGAAGTCATTAAATAAACTGCGACATTACGAACAAAATGTTGAGCAGTGAGGAACCTAGGTCAGTGAAGGGAGTCGAACCCTTTGAGAAGCATCCACATTGAGGCTACGGGATGAGACATAGTTTTGCGCAACGTCGCACAGAAATCGCGGTGTTGCTCAGAACCGTGACACATATATAATGAGGCTTCCGTATGTCGGGCCTAAGTTATACTTTGGTGTTCTTGTGATAAAATTCCGCCCCAAAAATATTTGAAGTATTGGAATGAGAACAGGAGCCGGCTTGTTTTTGGTTTGATAGACTTCCCATCATAATTTTCCCCAGTAGAAGCTGTTCACTTCTCATTTCCGGGCACTGGCGTGTGAAGCTTGATTTTTTTATGGCATTCATTAAGGAGCATTCTTAACTGTCCTTTTGAAATGAATGGTCGAGAACTGAAACCAATTTCTAAACGACCTATAATATTGGGGCAGTTGAAACAGGTATAGTTGCACATTGCCACACTGAAACACTTATCCCAGAAAGAAATCACTCGAGCCTCTTTGGATATGATTGTCGATCTTCGATTGGAGGATAAATGTGATGAGAATGCTTCTTCCCTCTCTGGCGGCATGCAACGGCGGCTTTGCATAGGTATCGCTTTCATCGCAGGTGGGTTTTTTTGTTTGTTGTGCTTACAAATTGAGCATGAGCGGTGGCTCCAAATTTTTGCACACCCACGAACGTACTTAGCCCTTAACTGTTCAATATGACTCTCGATTGCAGGTCTCGCTTCCTTTTCGAGAAAAGTTTTCCTCACTTTGTTTAACCCAACGGCCCACAAAACTTCTCGTTCGGAGCTAGCAGTTCAGATACCGAGTAGTTTTGTTGAGGGCAAAGAAGATGCTTCAAATGAGCTTACAGCGGGTAACAGCTGTTTTGTGCGTAAGGAATGTCGCAGGGTTTCAAGGCATTTCTTCTTAACAACTTGAGTTCATAGTCCATGTCGTCATAAATACATTACATGTATTGCTTTACACCCTCAAGCATCCTAACGATATGAGAAGTGTTGTCTCTTAGTGCAAGAAAAGCTACTTGTGCACTCACAATTTCAGGACACCCTGTAGATTCTTGCAGGCTACCGTCATGATTTTCGTTAGAATCTATTAAAATAACGTGAAGTATTCCTGAACTTTGAATGAATGGGAAATTGCTGTATTTCAGTAAATATCTCATTGGTTTGAACGGTATCTTCAAATCGATGAACTAAGACACGACGGCACTTGGTACTCTCGCGATACTTCAATGAGTCCTGTAGTGTAAATGTGATCAATTGTACTGAACCCAATAAGATGTTCAAGTAGAATTATAGATGACCTCTATTACTTTTAGTGGCGTAACAACTGCCCATCGGGATGAAAAAGTGAAGCCATTTTAGTCTTGCTAGTAACGAAGCTACAATCGGCTCCGGATGCTCTTACCAATCTCTGTGCTTGGGCTGAAACTGTTGTTCTTCTTCTTTCAGATCTTCCTCTACTGCTTCTCGCAGGACAGTGCAGTGATTGCTTATCACATGCAGCTCATGCAATTGTTCTGGATAACGAAATCTTCCCGGTCAATGACGTGGATAACGGAATCCTCCCAAAAGATCTCACATTAAGCAAGTGCTCCCATTTGATGACAGTNAATCTCTGTGCTTGGGCTGAAACTGTTGTTCTTCTTCTTTCAGATCTTCCTCTACTGCTTCTCGCAGGACAGTGCAGTGATTGCTTATCACATGCAGCTCGCGCGATTGTTCTGGATAACGAAATCTTCCCGGTCAATGACGTGTATAACGGAATCCTCCCAAAAGATCTCACATTAAGCAAGTGCTCCCATTTGATGACAGTTATGGGCTTCGTTTCTTGAAATATGCAGCTCTATCTTTCCACGCATTGAAAAACATAATCTGGAGCGGAAGAAACGACGGTCCAATCCTGTGTATAACTTCGGGACAAGAACTTCGATCAAACATGTGATCTATTTCATTGTAGAATTGTCTATAAATGACTCATAAGCCCATCGCGATTGAAGGGCTTATGGAACTAGGAATCATAATGGATGATGTCGGTCGACTAGTCGAACTTGGACAGGCTTTCATTCTGCTCATTCCCTATTGCTTTCCGCGAGTCTCGATATGTAGCTCTTTGGCCGTTCGTTTTAGTCTAGTAATGACGTCGGAATCACCAATGATAACCTTGCGCTTCCGATGGGAACGTCTATGCATTGAAAGTAGATCCTGGCCCTTTCTTTATAGGCTATAACGCTGGGCTGAGCCGCTAGAAATGCAGTTCGATCTCCTCAAGAGATTGCCAATAGGCATTGATAACGAATCGTTGCGAACGGGTACACAATGGCTCAAAAGGATCAGAATCAAAAAGCTCAGCGGAGTTAACAGTCTTGCTTGTTTAAAGGTCGGCCTCCGCAAGAATTTACAGCTCCATTCGCACCAAGGCTCAGATGACCACACTGTTCACCCGGATCCGACACAGCCGGTCAGCAACACTTACTAAATGGCAATTGTCGCATTTATTGCTCTGATTCGGTTTTGGGGTGAACAACCACCGCAAGAAGGATGGACTGTTGGCAAACTACAAACGATCGCTGCTCACCGGTTCAGTTGTCACACGTTAACACAATTCCGAGGAATGCGCGAGAAAGGTGCAACATTAATTTACCACTATTCCAGACGTAATCGGCACATCACATAGAATCCCACAATCGTGGTTCTGTAGCTTTCGTTTTAATGCGGAAATGGAACTCGAACGGGATGAAAAATTGAAAATCATATTGTATTCTGNCGCTGCTCACCGGTTCAGTTGTCACACGTTAACACAATTCCGAGGAATGCGCGAGAAAAGTGCAACATTAATTTACCACTATTCCCGACGTAATCGGCACATCACATAGAATCCCACAATCGTGGTTCTGTAGCTTTCGTTTTAATGCGGAAAAGGAACTCGAACGGGATGAAAAATTGAAAATCATATTGTATTCTGTGTTGGATAGACTCGCATCGCAATAGAGGGTTCGATCGATCCCCGTCCCCGTTGGTTAAGTAACCTTGAAAATGTGTCCACGATCGTATGAAGAAGGTCATAACAAGATATGGCATACTGTGAAGAATGTACGCAACATTTATGCCCACGTCGATCCCCGTACGACGGCGGCAGCATGGATGGGAGTCGTTGAGGTCCTTGCAGGACTTGCTCGTGGATTCAAAGCAACTATATTCGATGCATATGAGACGATCGACACAGAGAAGCCTCAGAGATACCCTGCTATGAGTCTCGGAAGCAATCCAAGTCGTAGTGATGAAAGATTTCATCCACGACTATGTGCACGATTTCTGAATCAAGTTCGGAAAGTGGCCTTTATCTCGCTATTGCTACCAAGTCTTTCCAACCAAGACTCACAAATGAGATGCTACGACATCAAGGAGACCTCAGTTGTTAGGCTAGAGGCCCAGCTATCAAAGGAGAGGGTAGTATGACTAATGAACAACCTGAAAAAATTGAGGCCGATGAATTTTAACGAGTGTCTAGCGAAATTTCGATGTGTCGCACAGTAAGATAGAGTATGGTTTCTCTAGCCATATTGGCCAGGCTAGGGTTCATAGAGGTGAGCGATAACTGCGGCTACCTGTCTGCGTCGAGCAACTCATAGCGGGTGGGTAGTTCCAGCTTCACAAAACTATGAGATGGTTGCGTATTTTCGAAGGCTAGTAATTCCTGCAGTGAAGCTGATAAATAAGTTGTTGGTCGATGATCGGTGAGCAATGCTTCCACCAAATAAGTGCCTAGTAATTTCAATCACCTTACTTGAGCTTTCCCCTTGACGTGCCTATTAGAAGGTGAAGGTACGAAATTGGTGTTGTCCAATCGTTGATGGTAATGTTGTGAAAGCTCAAATGCTTGCTTTTATTTGTTATGGGTTGATTTCCTGCGAAATGTCTTAGAAGTACATAAACCTCTGCTACCGCGCTCACATTGATTATAAAAAATTTTGACACTTCGAATTTTTCGTGGATGAACTTTCTTGCCAACGTAATGTAATGTAATGTAATTTACGTAATATATATATATATATATATATATACAATTTTGTGAAAATCTCAAGAACAAGATGGCAACATAACATAAATTATTAACGACTGGTTAGAAGTAAATGAAAGTGTTGGAGTATAGTGTAGACGTGCACAGAAAGCTGGACTGTCTCCGAGGGAGAAGAGCTTATATAGGCTCATACTGTAGTGGTATCCTTCAATACAACATTTCCCACAGACATCATCGGAAGAATCCACACGAATAAGGATCGTCGAGAAACTCCAAGAAGTGCATGGAGTCAGTACCAACTTATTGGGACTGCTGCTCGAAAGATAACAGGTGGTCGGCCAAGATCAACTACAACAAGAGACGCTACATGTGAGCAGGCGAAAAGAGATTCACGTTAATCAGCTACAATGACACTCAACAAAACTTAAGTGCCAGCCATCTCACGCACCTCAGTGACGAAACTATTGCACGATGGCCGCCCCTTTGCCCGACGACCGTTACGTCGTGTCCTTTGACCCTTGCGCCAGCGAGACCGTTTGCGGTGGTGCAGGAGCATAACCAGTAGACCGATGAGAAATGAAGTCATCTCGGATGATAGCAGATTCAATCCGAGTAGTGACTTTAGACGTACCTTCATAGGGGCAGAGGTGAGAACACGCAACTCTCACTGGAATATTGTGATTACATTTCGTGGATGACAATTTTCGGCCGTTGAGCACCTGCAACCGGTGATTGTCGTACAGGTTGAGGAATACTCGGAACGAGAGCATATCTGGCGGATTGAGTAACCTGTTCATACAACCAATCTAAATCCCACCCACAGGTGTGGAGTGTCCATATCCAAGTGTGAACTGTGTCACATAGGGAAATCAAGGAAGACCACACTCGAGTTTTGAGGGACCATCGATACTGTGGAAAAATTTGTCGCCTCTGTCCGATTTCATTATGCATACAGCTATGCTTACTATAATAGACAGGTCAATAAGTAGCATTTAAAAGGATGAACGAGATTAATGATAGCAGTTTTGGCGTATTTGATATGCACTAAAAGTTGTTAGGGGCTGCAATTTCGTCGTCAGCACAAGTTATAGAACAATATAATTGTTCTGTCAGCTCATTGCCAACCATTTTATACTTTGCATTAATATCCGCTCTTCGTACAAGAAGTCCGAGTCGATCTTCTTCTTCGAATGCATGAATACGATGTCCCGTGACAGAATGACTTTACTATCGCTATTCTTAGGTTCCAAAACTGTGATTCTTGACGAGCCGACTGCTGGTATAGATCCTTTCGCTAGACGTGCCATCTGGGATCTTATACTCAAGTACAAAGAAGGCCGCACTGTTATCATAGCTACTCATTATATGGAAGAGGCCGATATTCTTGGCGACCGTATTGCCATTCTATCGGAGGCTAGCAACTCTCATGAATCTTATGAGGTGAACGGTGATGCAGATTTGCTTCATGTCTGTTCAGGGTACGTTGAGGGCAATGGATACTCCGATAGGTTTGAAGAAAGAGTTTGGAAACGGTTATCGCCTAACGGTCAAATTAAAATCGAAGAAGTGGTAAATAGATTTGTTCAATGAAAAATCAACTGATGTGCAGTTTCGTTTCGTTTCCAGTGATAGTCTCGAGGAGTTCCTTTTATGGCTGAACGGCTACGGAAATAAGGTTGTGGTGCTTGACTGTTACCGTGGCCAAGCTGAGCTCGGTCTTTCTGATTGGAGCAACTCCCAAGCATGTCATTTCATTTAGGCAATTAGATTTTATTAAACTGAATAATGGTACGCTTGAAGGTTGTGGCGATGCTTGCTAACATTGAAAAATGCTGCAATACTATAGATTTCCCAATACAGACTTACTCGATAAATGATTCTACATTAGAAGAGGTCAGTGAGTAATTCAGAGTTAGTTAACACAATAAAATCGCAAAACTCATGAACTCGTTCAGGTTTTCCTCAAACTAGTGGGAAGGTCCAGTAGCAAAGGTATCATACGATCTTTCGAAGACCAAGGCACACCACNGTGAGTTCATATTCAGACCAGTCCTTTAAAAAAAATTCATTCCGTTTAGAGCCGGTAACTGTTCTAGTTCGAAAGTTTCCCAAGCTGCTGAGATTGAGGTGATTATCCCGTTTCGTTTTGAACCAATCAGGGCCAATCCAAAACAGTTTGAAAATTATCAATTTGACGGAAAGAATGCCGGTCTCGAGTTTTTTAGTGAACATTCTGATCAGGAGAATATATAATGATTTCAAATACGGCGTGGATGCACGCCGCCGTATTCACGCAATTAACACGCTCCATATCAAAAAGAAACGCTTTATGGCGAAGAGGGTATGTATTGCAGTGTCTCGAAGGTTCCATAAAACGAGGTTTCCACGGCGGAAGTGGCTCAAAGGAGCATTTATTGCGAAATTCAGCGTTGCATCTGTCAGCATACCTACTGATCCACTGATTCGGAGCAGTTCACTATGCCCATCACACTACTTGACGATTTTTGTTGCATAAAATGAAAGGTAGCACTGGAATTCTAGGTTTTTCTGTACTATCTGGCAAAGTGAGTAAATCGCAGACAACTTCACTTTGGCTAACATAGCGCAGAGGAATAGGGAACATGGCCAAAATTAGCGAAACGAGAATTGTTTCTAGGTTACCTATACAGTGTGTTATTACTGTGGATCTGCAAGAAGCTACTGTTTTTTATTTGATCCAATAATCTATGACCTGTTTATATCCGTTTCACAATGAATGGAGTTTTTGAAAGTTTTCTTGAGTCAAGAATGGAGCGACAGAATCTGTGACGTATTTTACACAATCACAAGTCGAAAATAACCACTTTTATTCCTGAACCCTCGGAAGCTCTAACAAATTGGGTTCACCTTGTGTTGCTGCATGAGTAATCTGCATACCACGCGTATCAAATATGCTTTAGAACATATTGGTCGTTTCAACTACTCCCGAGGTAATAACTGAGTGGATGAATTCTTATCACATGAATGGGCGTACTGGCCCATAAGTCAGAAATATAGCGGACGCGTGTCTTATGTATAGGCAGCTACTCTCAACAATATAGCGCGTATTCATAGAGTATGCAGCATCAGATATGATCAGGAGTACGAAATGCTGTTATGTCTTACGTTCATCGATTCGGAGTAAGCCCTTGATACCGTTGAAACAGGAACGGCAATTCAACCCCTGAGCTAATGGGGTGTATCTATTCATTATATGAAGATGGTCGTGAGCTCTACGGCAATTTCACAACCAGGATTTCACCATTCTACAAACAAGTCATTACCAACGTGAAGGAATGTGTCCGGCAGGGCGATACCATTTTGTCTTTTCAGTGCCGCTTTCGAAAGTATCATGCGTCATCTGAAATGAGAAGATTTGGGAGTGAAGGTCGACGGCCGCTATTTACTTCACCTTTCATCGACGTCGATCGTACTTATAACACCGAACATCGAGCAGGTGGAATAAATGATGGCCGAGTTTGGCAGTGTTCGTGGAAAGATCGGCTTGAGACTGTACTTAACGAAGATCACGTTCATGAAAAATGGACTGGTATCTCGCGCCACGTGGAGAGCGTTTAAGAATATCGAGGGAGTAGTGAAGAAAACAAAGAGCATCCGGCTCACACCTTTCCGGACTGGCGTCCTTTCTGCATTGACATACGCCTCGGAGACTTGGACTCTACGGAAGCAGGATGAGCATGCTGTTACTCAACGCGCTTTGGAAGACGATGCTCGGAGTTCCTCACGGCACGTAACGCAAGTGCAGAAGGGAATCCGGAGGTCCGAGCTCCGTCATCGAAGATCAGGGATGCAGTTGATTACGCCAAGAAATCGAAGATCAGATGAGCCGGACACATTATGCGATATAGTAATGACCGTTGGACCAGGGCGGTAAGTGACTGGATCCCTCGAGATATCAAGCAAACTCTAGGACGGCCGTCATCGAGACGGTCAGATTTCTTCACGAAAGCTCCGAACGAAAAGAATGTTGGATCTCGTGTCCCTGGAGCGAGGACGACCTAATTCACTGGACCACTCTGGCTCTTGACACGACTAGTGGAGACCTTACTTGCGCCCGCTCGAGGAAGTCGATGATCAACGGGACGACAGGTGATACAGGTGATGCAGCATTAGAAAGTATGCGTTTGTGGGATTCGCTGGACCTAACCTCATATCCATATGCAGTCTCATTGTTCATGGATATATTCGAACGCATGCATTCTTTCCTGATGCGTTGTTCACGGGGAATGGACGAAGTATGCAAACCTTCCACTGTTATTCCCCCTTCACCCTATGTCCCCGTAAAAGAGGTCTTGTGTTCGCAGAAGAGTGTTCGAAAAACTTTCAACAATTATAAGAGTAACAAAAACGTGAATAAGAGAGCACGAAACTTCCATCCTGAGTATGAAAGAGGAAAGGGCAAAGTGACGAGGTCTTTGTAGCAACTGCTACAGTATGGTACATGTCAAAACGCGGCAATCACTACACTAACACTCTTTCGTCGAGGTGGGTCTACGCGCACCAACATGTGAAGATCAATAACTGGGCGTGATCTCATCTTTGAGCTTTGGTCCGACCGAGGGGTATAAACGAGCCGGAAGGCTTCTCAGTCAATTCATTTTTGGACTTGGTGGTCCACAATACAGCAATACCGTATCCGCAATATCCAATATCGGTTCTCAATATCCGAAACAATATCCGTCACAATATCCGTCACAATACCCTACCACGATATCCGACTCCACAATACGCGGGAGAGGAAGGAATACTTGTCAGTATTTTGTTGTATTAAGAAAGTTTAACACTAATCCATGCACTCAAGCAAACAGAGATATCCGCGTGGCAAATCTAATAGATTTTGGGCGAGCAACCTCACCACACTAAAGACCACAATCTGGTGCATAGGCAATCTACGGAGCCAGGTTAGTCAATTTCTTCCTTTACCGGAAGGCTGAGCGGTTGCCTTGAATAAGCTACAACCGCATTTTTCCACTTTCATACTGCAATGCTCCTCCAATATCTGAGTTTTGTTCTCAATACGGCTTCAATATCCAATATCCAATATCTCAATATCTTGAGGCAGAACAATATTCAATATTCCAATACTTGGAAAACAATAAGGGAACTCAATCCTCTTAGCCACAGGTGCCATTAGGAAGACTCAATATTTCCTAAACAAGGATGTCTACCCTATCCAGCACCAGGAAACGTCTCTTGACGTTCAGTATCAATAAACTCGAGCTCACTCTCGATAGCCTCGAGCAGGAAAGACTTAAAGACACTTCTCTAGGTCCCAGTTTAACTAGAAATGTTCATCTCGAAAACATACGTAGATTGGAAGAGAGTATCAAGGCCATTGAACTAGCAATGGCAAAGGTGGTAAATTCCCTTGGCGCGTTAGCTTCAGCATTTGATAGCACCAACGTTTCCGCTAATGAACCCAACGATTTCGAAGAGTATGTCGGCAAAAGTGAGACCAGTCTCAGCGTTGCATTTGACTACTCGATTCTTTTGCAGACACGGCTTGGCACTGGTAGATGTTTGGCATCTCAACCAATATCTTCTGCAGCAGAATCCAGATCATTCCCTTCAATACCTCACGCAAGAGTGAAGCCATTGGAGCTTCCGCCCATTCCAATACCCACTTTTGGGGGAAATATTTGGGAATGAGACAGTTTTTTGGAGATTTCCAATACCATTGTTCACTCTGGAGATATTGCGGATATGATCAAGTTCAATTATCTGCTAAATGCTCCCGAAGGGGAAGCCGAAGAATCCATAAAGGTAGTCCAGGTCACAGGAGACAATTACAATAAAGCAATACAGTTCCTTCACAATAAGTACAATAACGGAGAAGTTTTGATTAATGTCTTAGTGGAAAGAAAGGATTGTTGCTCCCTTAGGGGACAGTCTATCAAAGATCAGCGTCACCTCCTAGAACAACTCCAGGGCATTGTGACCCAGTTAGAGGAAAAGGGCGAGGAGGTCAACAACTCGTGGCTCATCGAGAAAGTCTTGAGCAAAGTTCCTTAATCACTAAGGCGTAAGATGATTACAAAGAAACAGAGAGTTGCACCGTCGACTCCTTTCACCATGAGCCTGCTATCCCAACATCTTGACGAAGTGATAAGTACAGAGTAATTGAGTCTGACGAAACAAGACCCAAGCAAATGATGAAGACCAATAAGGCCCTCAACAATAAAGAAGATTTCAAACGTACCTGCATGTACTGCAGGGCTACACATCCATTGCATGCTTGCACGCAATATTCCACGCCGCAAGAAAGACCAACTTATCTGAGAAAGCACAACCTGTGCCTGATATGTGCGTCCCGAAATCATAATACTGCCCAATGCAGAGGACGTATGTGGTTCAGAATAGTCCAGGATCGACTTTCTTCCAATTTTGGCATGATATGCAGTGAAGATAATCCTCTTTAAGCCTTTCAAGATTGAACAATTTATTAGGCCAACGTTTCGGCTGCTTCGCCTTCTTCAGGGCCTGAAGTAGTGCAAAGCATTGTGTGGCCTGCTCGCCCAAAAGCCTCAACAAAACCACAACAAAACCTCAAGTAGACCAGCAAACCCCCAAAGGTATAGATCGAATTAGACTACTCACCTTGGAGTCCGCCGTTAAGTCAGGAAGACGACCACCCTCGTAATAAGTGTTGTTTAAAATAACACCTCCCACTGACATCATCGCAGATCAAAGATTACACAGGTCAAGGAAGGGTGCGAGTTCACGGGTTATGGCTACACACTCCTCCTTGCTCATAAGGGGTTCTTTAGCGGTTATCCAAAACGCTTCCAGGGTCTTGCGCGCCGCGACTTCTGTCTGAAGCGCCAATATGACACGGAAACGTCAAAGGATAAACCTGCGTGGAATGAAACACGATGGGCTCCTAGCGGGATATGCATCCTTGATCCAGCCAGCCCACTTAGATGTTCTTTAACTCGAACGCACAAAGGGCGACCCGTTTCTCCTATATACTCGCATCCACAGCTTTGGCAACGTATAGAGTAAACCAATCCCACCTTCATACAATCACCCACTTTGCCATAAGGGCACCACACAGTTAGGCGTGTTACATACAGTATCGTAGAGTCGACTACGAACAAGAAGCTTCCGAAGGGTGTTTGGAGGTATTTCGACAAGCCGTATATCGTCTTGAAGATCACACCGACGCACAATTGATCGGATAGATCTACTTAGGATGAAACTATATTTGCGACTCTAAGCATATTACTGATACAGAATGTGGTTCAGTTGTGGAGGGACGCATCATACCTCCTGCTGCTTCGAAGTCAGCACCAACATCTACGGAAAGTCTGGAACCGGCAATGCCCAAAAAGCTCCAAATGCTACTCGGACCTTATCAACAAGATCAAAAAAGGGAAACGGTGACGAAAATGCCTACAAGAAGCTACAGAAGGCTCACTCTAAAGTAAACACTACGACAGCAACCAGCGAACTCGGTTCCTTTGACGATGCAAATGCGGAATCCGTAATCGTCCAACACCAAGCTGCCACCAACAAGTCGACACGCACGCATCCTTGTCTACCAATAGGAGAACTCACCATTGTCGATACCGTTACAAAGGCCCTAATAAAGGTGCATGCTTTGCTCGACACTGGAGCTGAACTATCCTTTATTGAGAGCTGCTCGGCCATTCGACTGCACTTACCAGTACAGGACATCAAAGAGGTTCAACTGGCAACATTCGGTTCTCAGGAAGTAAAGAAAATCAGATGCAACCGAGTACATATAGACGTTTGGGATGCAGAAGGCCATCCTCACAACCTAGAGCTGCTCACACACAATGTTCTTACACGTTCTCTTGAGACGCCAGAGCTTCCTGAGCTTGAGCTTCGACGACAGGGAATTCATTCGTTCTCTCAACTTGTCTGTAACATGGAAAAATGATAAAAAGAAGATAAGTGCATCTATTCTGCTTGGGTGCGATCAACTATGGAGTTTCATGCGAATCAACGAACCATCAATATCCTTACCATCGGGAATGCACATTTTACCCATTAAAATAGGATATTTGGGTTCAGGAAGACCTAAACTGGAGAACAAAAATGTTTTCCAAGTCTCTCAACAACTTCAAGANGAAGCAAAAGAATGGGAGAAGCTCTGGTCCATGGACCTTATCCAACAATACACAATATCGTCCACAGGAAACGAAATTTCCTGGGAAGAGAAGGCGGAACAGGAAAATGAGGATGAGGAAAGGATGGGAAAGGACATCGATAAGGAGAAGATCACGTTGACGGCGGAAGGATACATTCAGAAGGTCGACCGAATCGCTTCGGAATTATGAACTGGGTCAACTATTAAAGAATATCCCAGACCAAAGCAATAACGCCCCTCACGGGAAAAACACCATGGAGGTTCAAGCAAAAGAGGATGCCGAAATGACTATGGACAGTCTCAGCAAAGGACGGAAAGTCGAGAAAACAACACAAAATAGACTGATTTCGGAGACCACTGAAACCGCGGACGACGTGGAAAAAGAACATCCTCAGTCTGCTCCTCAAGAATTAAGCGACCGTCCAAATCTGGATCAGAAGAGTCCAACGAGAAGAAGCTCTCGATATACGGATTACGACGAGGATGGCAGTCGTCACCAGGACGTTAATTGCCCTAGGAAGTGCCCTCACAGCGAAATTGAAAGAGAATTGGAAGAAGTTGAGAGAGGACTACGACTGCTCCCGACCAGAAAGATTGCTTACAGATCACAGCAAGTCAAGTTCTTCGTAACATGCGCGTTCTGTGAGATGAAAGGAGCACATCTATCTGACTCCCGCCCTGAAGTTTGTGAAGGACACCAAAGACGTCGCATCATACGATTTAGTGAAAGGTGTTTTTACTGCTTGGGGTGGTGTGAAGACCACAAGAATTGCGAAGAAAAATAAAAGAAAGTTGGTACTGCTCAAAAGTTCAAGACACGGCTTTGGACTTCCTCATCCCCGATGACGACGGACACCATCGCGCTTTGTGTTACAAAATTCCAAAGATAGAGTAAGAGATGTCATCCAAAACGTGAGACAAGCACTGTCTGACGTTTCATGATCGTTACTGCCCCCGGGAGTGTGGCAACTGCTACAATACAGTACATGTTAAAACGCCGCAATCACTACACTAAACCCCTTTGGTCGAGGTGGGTCTACGCGCATCAACATGTGAAGATCAATAACTGCGTGTGATCTGATCTTTGATCTTTGGTCCGACCGAGGGGTATAATTAGCCGGAGGACTTCTCAGTCAATTCATTTTTGGACTTGGTGCTCCACGATACAGCGATACCGTATCCGCAATATCCAATATCAATACTCAATATCGGACACAATATCCGGCACAATATCCGTCACAATACCCTACCACAATATCCGACTCCACAATACGCGGGAGAGGAAGGAATATTTGTTAGTATTTTGTTGTATAAATAAATAAATAAAGTTTAACACTAAGCCGTGCACTCGAGCAGTTTAGAGGTATCCGCGTGACAAATCTAATAGATTTTGGGCGAGCAACCTCACCACACTAGTGACCACAGTCTTGGCGTTGGTCGTTCCTCTTTAGGAACGCGCACACTTGTCTGACTTCCATTCGGGATTGTAAGTGTTTTGAATGCGTATATGTTCAATGACTTGTGCTGGCCGGCCGATGTTCGAATAGATTTTTTATTCCCCGAGACGAGTATGGTTCCGAATAGCCTACTACAGAGGAATGCAAGCCTTGGATGGCATAGTTAGTATCGAACCGGGAGTATGCCATGAGAATGTTCTGTGTTTTATGATGAACTCAAGATGGATCTATCTGTGTTTTCATGATATAAACAGGAAAGACTTATGTAGAACAGTCTTGTTCTAATCATTCACTCTGGTTGTATTCAGAGAATTCTTCGACTTTTCCTCTTTCGAGAGGTATTCTAATCACAGTATGGCTCGGATTTGGCGACGTATTATAGCACAATCGAGGAAACGAGTTCTTTTCTCATTGCGCAATTGGAGAACTTTATTCTCACAGCTCATCATACCAGGTTAAATTTAACATTGATGTTCAATGTTATATAAGTTGCTCCATGCAGTGAGCATCAAAATTGCATTAAAAGGCACAGTCAAATTCAAACTACACTCCCACATATTTACGTTCAACAAAATAGGAAAGAGGCCCTGATATTGTGCTTCTAGTGTGGTTCGTTATTTTGGGAATGGGTGTGGCACTTCCATCAGTCAGTTTCATATCGTATCCTCCTATCGAAATGTCGACGATGCAGTATGTCAATCTGTCGAAGTCAGATGTTGTAGTACCCTATTATGATTTCACTGTTCACCGAGGTTATCCTTACAGGAACCTGAGCTCCCGCGATGAGGTGTTGTTTACAATTTTTATTAACATTGTTGCGAATTGTTCGTTGTAACTTTATTCAAGCTTGCAGCATTTAATCGACCCGATGTCAGTAATAAATCAACTGTTCAATCCTGCTGGGCCAGGACCAGTATGTGCAATTCGGGATCCCGAACTTACATGGATAGATGCCAATAGACCTAACACGTCTTCCGAAACGCTCGATCGGATGGTTCAAGTATCTTATTTTGATATGCCGTGCCAGCAGCTGAATCACGCTGCGAAGAAATATTTTCTTGCGATCATGCTCAAGCGGTTTTTGGTGCCAAAATATCGAGGTAAATAGGTTTGAAACGGAACATGTTCACATTGCTTTGAGCACTACTTATCGTTTTCGAGCACACATGTCAGGATTTGGATTATTTGTTTAGCGAATTTGGCTTGCGGAGATAGTTTCAATGAACATGAATATTGCATATACATGCTAGTCTCGGAAGCACATGATGGCAGTACTAACATACTTTTGATCACGGACGAAATTAATGCTTGTAAAAGTTCTATCAACGATACCGTTTGACGTCTTTGAGGGTTGTTGGATTGCTCTTGTACAGAGATTCCTCGTGTTTGTTCGGAATCTCTTTGTGACCTCATCAAAAGATATCTCCACTATCTATTTGAATTCCTAACACGCTTCTGATGTATCAGCGGTTTTCTTATAAAGTCACAGAAGAGACTGAATAGCTCGTACCTTCGAATCTTTATTTCGGCCGTCATTACACTAGCATGGGGTTGATTCACTTCAAGCACTAGTAGCTCGATTAGGTTGATTTGAAGATCACACCACATAAAGTCCCGTTGATCATAGATGTGCCCGATCAAGCGCCAGTAGCTTTCCATTCGTCACTGTTGTGATTCAGTTGTAGTCCGGTGGACCGCCTTCACTTCAAAGGCATTGAGCATCTCATTCCTTTTGTTCGGACATATCGTGAAATGTTTGACCAGCTGGCGGTTGTTCAGGTTTAGGTTTGACGTCGTAAGGGATAAAATGTTGCATGACGTGTCCGGGTCACCTGATCTTCGATTCCCTTATGTAATCACAGCTTCCCTGATCCGCATCTTCGACGAAGCTTAAAATTACGCGTTTCTTTTCACTTGCCTCTATGCGGAGTTCCTAATAGTGACCTTTACACCGGAGTCATTGAATGCCGCTAACTGCATACTCATCCTGCCGTCCTGTGAAAAGTCCGAGCCTCGCTGCATAAGTCAAGTCAGGAACGATGGCAGTATCCGGAAGATGAGCGGATGTTTTTTGTCTTCTCCAAAACTCCATCGCAGCTCCAACATACCTCCTAAACAAGCACTTCCTCCTGTTAAGTTCTAGGCTGATTTTTGATCGTATTGACTTTCGACCAACAAAGCGCACTTAGATAGAGCTTCCAGAGATGTTTAACCGTTAAGCGTAAAACGGTCATCAGTGAGCAGTTCGTTATTTCAATCGTTGTCTTCGTTGGGTGTAATCGCACGCCGATCACTATGTAGTCTTTTTCTGAATCGCAATTAGGCATTTCTCCCACTTGCTCGACATTCGCACGATATCGACAGCAACGGATTTAATGTAGGTACTGGGAATCGACCTTCGCTCTTGAGTGTTCTCTTTCAGTACAATGTATGAAGTTTCTTTTTAAAAAGCCTGGGCAAGATGGCATCAACTTGACAACTCCCCTGTTCAAGTTGACGATGTCTTCCTTGTGTAATGTGACAGTCAGGTCGTCTTCGTCGTGAAGCTCGCGAAACATTTTTGTGGTTACTGATATTGTTTCAATAGTATCGAGGGCTTCCTTCTATCGATTGTATTATACTTTTAATTCCCGCGACATTTCATTGGTGTTGTGACTGTGTCGGTATGATCCTCGTACATAACTGCCTCAACGACCATTCAAAATCGTATAGCTGTCCCTCATCCGAACAGGCCTCATGCGGATGGCTCATAAAAAGTTCTGTGGATTACTGACAGCAGGCAGATTGATGCTTCTTAATATTGTTCAGAATACAGTCTTGCTAGAAGGTAGGGATAGCCGAGTGGTATGAGGTAAGGCTCATGTCTGCACTTGGAAAGAGCGCAAAATCGATCCCAGGCAAGACAAATCCATGATTTGTCATCATTGCCGGAATGGTTTCGGCACCAGCGTTAGGTTTTTGGCTACTGCGGAGTGATCGATTTCTGGAATAGTTCGGGGCTCTAAACATGGTACCACTCATTGGGAACCCCCAAGAGTCAATGATCTAATGAAGCGCAGAAACCTCTGAGTCGTATGCCTTCACGAGACACACTGGAGAAGAGCAAAGGCCAGGGAGATCGGACAGGGTGTCAACCTCCACTACAACGGTACTCCAAACGAAACGGTATGGTCATCTTAGGCTCCTTGGCGTGAGCGTCTCGCTTTGTGTGTACGTCCACTGTTAGGCATTGCGATTTCCTGTGTGGATTTTCACATGACGTCTACTTTTTATCCTGAGCAATGATAAAGTGGGTTGATGTCATTATTCGCACCCAGTCGAGGAGCCTCTCTCAAACACTGACTCGCACTCGACACTCTTGCTCACTCAGGGATGTGCGATATTTGCAGAGTCCTGCTTTGGAAGTGACTTCTGCGTGGAATGTCTTGGATGACGGGTTGATCAGTAGAGATCTGTTTTCCGAATCCTGCCATTTTGAACAGGACTGCTCTGACGGGAGGCGAGATTAGTGTCCGTATCTAAGGACGGTGGATGTTCACTTTGACAAATTTCTTCGAAGCTAATCTATTCTCAGAGGAAGCGATCGTACCATTCATGGCAGGTGACAAGAGAGNAACGAATTAGTTCGTATGTAAGAGATCTTCTGTGTTGCATTTTATTTCACGGTCAGAACAGGTCAGAACCGTGAAATAAAATGCAGCAGACGAATTCTTACATACGAATTAATTCGTTTTACGTCAGTGCGCCGGATCGCCGGCCGCCCGACCGGCGGGCTATGAAAGCAGCCAGAGGGTCACTCAATCAGTCACCATATCTCATTACAAGCTTGAGTGTTGAAGCGATTATTTTCGTAATGAGAGGCAGAAGGCTCCAGTAGTCGTATTGATGGCACATCCTTTGGTCTACGATTATTTACTTCCAGCGACCACGTCAAATACTGATCAGCCATAGTATTGACTTAACAACAATGCCTTTTTCTCTGCTAGCGAATCTATAGTCCCTCTTCAGCGCGTTTGCGAGCAGCATGCTTTCAAAGTTGAGAGGTTTTCTCAAAACTTTTCAGACACCCTAAACTTATGACTCCTCTTCACGTCATTCAAGTCCTATATTGTCAGATGAGCCTCCGAATCCTCCATCGTTGTGAACGCTTTTGCAGTTTTAAGCACTAACCTTCAAAGTAAGAATATATCCTATAAAGTAATAAGCGCAATTCACGAAGGGACCAAACGCACCACACAGCCCAATAATTATATATATTATGTCCGCAGACTTGGGTAGGTTAGCCTAATCAACAAAGGCAAAGCATAATGAGAAGCATCATACACTTAAAGCAAACACAAGTGAACCGTCACAGGATTAAAGTGCATACTTTGGGCAGAGAGAATAAAGCGAATGCGAGAAGTGAATGTAATGGATGTGTGCACATAAACATAAAAACCAGAACAAGGAAAAGTTACGAGAGCGCTGAACAGACGATTATGAAAGAGGCTAAGGATAAAATCGAGCGCACCTAGTGATGGATAGTAGAGGAATAATACGCTCAGCTTCGCCATTCCTCCTTTGGTTCGATGCTTCGAATCTCGTTAAGATGAGTACCCTCGATAACGCAGATTCTTGGTGCATTGGGAAAGTGGACTTGGTGTATCAGGGAGTTAAGATGATTGCCGTGATTTCGCGAAAAAAACAAGAATGCCTACTTGTTCCTCACGCAATCAAGGAATTCGTTATTTTATAGTTGCTTCGTCAGTTCATAGCCACTATTTAGACTCTTCGGACGGTCGATGTGTTTGCGAAGAAGTGGATTATGTGGAGAAGTGCGAAAAATTTCCACTTGCAAATCTGCCGGAGATGTCATTCAACGGTGCTCTACCATACGATGTATCTGGATTTGACATTTCTGCGTGGACCATAAGTAATGTAAAGAACAGAAACTTTGGGTTCGTGCCGAAGCAATACCATCATTTTCGATTCTAATTTTATGAGCCCTTCCGATTCTCATTTCGATTTGACAAGCTCGATTCATCGAGGGTAACATCAAGAGTAGATGGCGAACGATTCATTGTGGAATTTCACAAAAGCCATGGGGATGGCCCCGAAACTTTGGCACTAGTCTGTTTTTTGAATGATCTCAAAAAAAACTGTACTGCTTCATTTTCTGAAGAGGTTATTTCTTCGAAAATTGAATAAATGCCTTTTCAGAGTCCTCATGGGTATCCACGGAGCCTGAGTAATGCGCTTAAAGTTCTCATCAATATACAGAGGTTTCAGGCTAGATTAAGTAACTCGACTACTCTCAATGTAGATCATATAGATTTACTTTCTAAGAAAACTATGACGGATCTATGCTCACTTTCCTTCCAGTCATCGATTTTGGAAGCCGAGCAACATCCACATTCTTAGATGTGAAAAATCAACTTGGGACAAAGTTTGTGGGAAAAAGCCGCTACAGAGGCACAAGTGCCTGGCTTCCTGATTAGATGCTTCCAGCCATTCTTGAAAATGACAGATAATTTTACGTTATCGGACAATTACTATTTTCAAAGACTACAGTCAATTATCAGTCATGCTTATTGTCTTCAATACTCGCGATTACCGGGCCGTAGTTATTCGGACTTTGTTGTGATTTCCCATTCACCGGATATCATGAGGGCCTTTCACCTTAGTTTACTTTGAACACTCAACCTTGGCTTCAAAAAACCGTTATTCATCTTGTCACTGACTGTACCTTCGGATCAAGCACTTTGAAAAGTGGTTACTACACTTATTAAGGGCATGTTAGTAGCAGATTGTTGAAGGAACCGGTTTCATGAACTTTAGGAAGAAAATTCGTCAGCATTCTCTATACATACATATATTCCGGAAGCTTGATAATCCTCGCTCTCGACGCCTGTCGGCTTGCTCCTTTTCAAATTGAAAATTAATCAAGTTATCCCTAGAGCATGTGAATGTTTGTTGGTCCCGGAAATATTGTAATAGATAATCAAAGAATGGGTGGTGCCCATAACGCTAATGGAGTCGGGAAACTTTTCCGCAACATACTATTTATGTGGTCAGTCCTTAACTCTGATTACGTTCCACAAAAGCACACCGTAATCAAATG